TGTTTTTTAGCATCTATCGATCTGAAGGACGCTTATTTTTTCATCCCCATTGCGAATGAAAACAAAAAATATTTGAGATTTAAATTCCAAAACCAAATTTTTGAATTCCAATGTTTATGCTTTGGTCTCTCAGTGGCTCCCTATGTTTTTTCAAAAATTTTAAAACCAGTCTTGCATTTTCTAAGAAACCAAAAATTTATTTCGGTCGCTTATTTGGACGACATCTTGTTAATAAGTAAGAACGAAAATGAATGTTTCCAGAATATCCGACAAACCTGCAATATTTTAGAGAAAGTTGGATTCATTATCAACAAAGAAAAGAGCTGTCTCCACCCAACTCAGAACATTACTTTTTTAGGTTTCAATTTCGACACAGTTTCAATGAAAATCAAAGTTCCAATTGAGAAAAAGGAAAAGATTAAAAGTATAACAAAAAATTTAATGAAATTGAAAAGACTGAGTATAAGAAAATTTTCTGAGTATATAGGACATTTAGTTTCAGTTTGTCCGGCGGTAAAATATGGGTGGTTACACACCAAAATATTCGAAAGACACAGATATTTAGCATTGATGGTAACTGAAGGAGACTATGACCATTCGATGGAAATATCTGATGAATTGAGTCATGACTTCAATTGGTGGATAAATAATATTGATCGGTCTTACCAGGACCTAACACTGCCACAATATGACAAACATATATTTACAGATGCGTCAAAAAGTGGGTGGGGAGCAAGTTGCGATAACATGGAAGCTCGGGGGTTTTGGGAACCAGGAGAAAACTCAGAACATATAAATCTTTTGGAACTGAAAGCGGCTTTTTACGGTCTCAAAACTTTTTCAAAACAATCTTCAAATTGTCATATTTTAATGCGAATCGATAACAAAACAGCTATATCACACATAAACCGAATGGGGGGTATCAAATATCCGAAACTTTCCGAGATATCGAGACATATCTGGGAATGGTGTGAAAAAAGGAACATCATAATATTTGCATCTTACATAAAATCTAAAGACAATTTTAAAGCAGACCGAGGCTCACGGTCGAAAAATATTGAAACTGAATATTGCCTTAATCATGAAATATTTCAAAAAGTAGTGGAAAAATTGGGGAAACCTGAAATAGATCTGTTTGCAAGTTATTCTAATGCAAAATGTGAAAAATTTATCTCATGGCACCCAGACCCCAAGAGCATCGCGGTAGATGCATTCACAATATGTTGGAATGATCTTAAGGCATACATTTTCGCCCCATTTTCACTCATGACAAGAATTTTGAAAAAGATAGAAGCCGACAAAGCAACATGCTTAGTCGTTTTTCCGTTATGGAAGTCACAACCCTGGTTTCCGAAATTGATGTCAATGGTGGTCTCCGACATAATGCATTTTCAACCTCAGTGTGATTTAATTTTGTCTCCATTTAGGGAACCACATCCGCTCTGGAGACATCTTACCCTGGGTGCAGCGATTTTATCCGGAAATCATTCATCCGAAAGAACATTCAAGGGGGACCTCTAGAGGTGATGATGGCTTCGCTAAGTGAAAACACGCTCAAGCAATATAATTCCACATTTTCCAAGTGGTGGAATTTTTGCGGGGGTGATTTCGACAAGGTATTTTCTCCATCAACACAAGAAATTTTGACATTCCTAAATGATGAATTTGAAAAGGGAAAGAACTATAATACAATCAATACACACCGATCCGCACTCAATCTTATTTCGGATGCCGGTAAAAGTGAATCAGTAGAAAGATTCATGAAGGGTATTTTCAAAACAAGGCCAATATTCCCACGATACAAAGAAACTTGGGATCCTCACGATGTTTTGCTTTACTTAGAAAAACTGCACCCCTTAGAAAAACTCAATTTGGAAACCTTATCCATGAAACTTGTTGTCCTATTAGCCTTATGTTCGGCACAAAGGGTACAAACATTATCGAAAATTAGACTAAGCAACACCAGTGTCAATAATGAGGGGGTTTTGATAAAAATCATTGACACAATAAAAACATCGGGTCCCAAGAGACCACAACCACATATGTATTTTCCATACTTCAAGGAAAAACCGGAACTGTGTTTGGCATCCACAATTGTTTATTACATAGAAATCACAAAAGTACTCAGAAAACAGAATGAAGATTTTCTAATTCTAACCTACAAAAAACCCCATCACCCAGCTACAACCCAAACCTTAAGTCGTTGGCTAAAAAATGGGTTGAAACTGAGTGGTATTGACACAAAAATATTCAAAGGCCACAGCACTCGACATGCTGCCAGTTCTGCTGCATATCAAGTAGGCATAAGTATTGATACAATTAAAAAAAATGCAGGTTGGTCAGAAAAATCAAACACATTTTGCAAATTCTATAACAGACCTGTAATAACAAAGGAATTTTTTTCTAATTATATTAAGGAATTCATCCATTGAATGTGCGGGATTTTACAAATTATGTTAATTGATTTACATTTATATTCTTGTTATTGCTATTGGGAACAATGTTAATACAATTCTAGGGCACTAGAATTATTATAATATAAGCATGTAAATACAGATACGTTATTGTATATATATGTTATTATGGAAAATGTCGGTGTTTTGCACAAAATATATTCAAAACATTAAACACATTTTATTGGTTATTTGATCGCCTGTTTTATGAGCTCTTTAAACATCTACAGAGTGATCTATTCGGATGTGACCAATCGAAGTATAATTAAGGATTAAACGACTTACCTGAAGGAAGTTCAATCCCAATTATACGAGATTGGTCACATCCGAATAGAGAAACACCCACCCATAACAAAATAGTGTGAAATTTATTTATTTTTTTTTGTCACCCGAACCCATAAGGCGATCTACAGTCTATACACTATCATCGCAAATATATTGAAGCGTGTCCGAGCAGAGCAGGCTGATGTGGGGTGACGACGTGTGATTCATTCTTTAAACTTGCGCATATCAGTGACAAGAGGTATACTACAGAGTGATCTATTCGGATGTGACCAATCTCGTATAATTGGGATTGAACTTCCTTCAGGTAAGTCGTTTAATCCTTAATTATTTTCGAATGAATAGAATTTTTTGTCAAACTTTCGTTTTTGCTTATAATTTATAGTTTTTTGTAAAAAATATCTGTGAAAGTATGAGGAAAATGTAGAATATTTCATTTTGGATGCTTGTTCGTTTGGTTTGGAAATTCCCAGTCACAGTTTACAAACACCATATACAGGATGACCTTTTTGATGAAAACTAAACTACCTATCAAAATTTTTCAAAAACGGTCCTAGATTTTCTCGAATCTGAATAGGTCAGTCGATTAGGGTTTGGTGGAGGAATATTCCATGAAATAATCAGACGAATCGAAGGAGCTCTTCAAAAGTTATGACCAGGAAATGTGTTTGCCAGATCTAATAATTCATCCTATATATTGGTAAAGAAGAGAAGGACACTGTCTGATGGTCATTAGGTATTATCCTCAAGGGCATCTATTCGTGGTAGGAGTACAGTTGCTCATGACTCACCCTGTATATATATATCTGTCAATTCGGCCTTATTTTGCAGTCAGCTTGATTGACAGAAACAAATTTTCAATTCTAGTTTTTCACGAATTTTGCGTCATATACACTGTGTCCATAAAGTCACCCCCCCCCCTGATTAACTATTGAACGGATAGGATTTTTTTTTTCAATTTTTTTTTGCTTCGATGGTAATTTCAGTGCTACATATTTTTCTAAAAAAAAAATATGTATCCTCCAAAATGGCGCCTAGATTTTTTTAAATGGAGTGGGGGGTCGAATGATACCTCGATTGAAAGGTCTTTCGATTCTCTATACAACCTCAGAATCTCAGACGAAAATATTCATCCAAAACAAAATGGCGGATGATAACGTTTGAAATTTCACACCAGGATTCATTCGACTAGATGGCTATTGAAGTGCTCGCATGTGATCTTCAAATTTCTATTGGCGTATTAGAAGAGTTCTCTATCTATGAAGATATCAGTAGGAAGCCATTTTGAAGAGAATAACATGGTAGTCAATTATTACCTTTGCTCGATTGTCTTTCCAAATTCTGCAAAATTTCAGAAATATTTATTCAACATAAAGAACAATGTTTTTTTTCCACGTTAATAAATAAAAATCAAATCAAATGTTCGAAATGTCCACCATTCACTTCTTGACACATGAAGAGACGATTTTGGAATTCACGTCTTACATTTCCAAATATTTCAGGCGTAGTAATTCTACATGCATCTGTTATGCGTTGCTCCAATTCATCTATCGTTACTGGTGTTCTGTACACTTGAGATTTGAGATGACCCCATAAAAAAAATCTAAAGGGGTCAAATCAGGTGAGCGAGCTGGCCATTCAATAGGACCCATCCTACCGATCCATCTTTCAGGAAAATTTTCATTAAGAAATGATGTTACTGGCCCATAGAAATGAGAAGGCGCTCCATCTTGTTGAAAAAAAATATTCTGCATATTATTTCCAGCGACCTCTACTATCTCTGGATGAATATCTTCTTGCAGCATCCTCAGCAGGTATCGAACTCCTTTCAGATTTTCATGATAGAGAACTCTTCTATACGCCAATAAAGATTTGAAGATCACATGCGAGCACTTTAATAGCCATCTAGTCGAAAGAATTCTGGTGTGAGATTTCAAACGTTATCATCCGCCATTTTGTTTTGGATGAATATTTACGTCTGAGATTCTGTGGTTGTATAAAGAATCGAAAGACCTTTCAATCGAGGTATCATTCGACCCCCCACTCCATTTAAAAAAATCTTCCAAAATGGCGCCCAGGATACTTTTTTTTTTTTTGGAAAAATATGAAGCACTGAAACTACCATCGAAGCAAAAAAAAATTGAAAAAAAAAATCCTATCCGTTCAATAGTTAACCAGGGGGGGGGGGTGACTTTATGGACACAGTGCATATCAGTTCAGCGTCTTCGTGCGAAGCAAGTGCATCGCGTCGAATCCTCAATTCACCTGCATCGGCGGCGGTGGCGGCGGCACCGGAAGTGCGATTGGCCCGCGGGAAACCGGCCGCCGCCAATAAAGAGCGACCCCGCCTCCCTTCCTTCCGGTGTCCGATATCCATCCACTTTGCATACCGTCGCTCGCGTCTCGGCGGTTTAGCGTCCCACCCCTCGACAGCCGCCTCCAGCGAAAAGTGCACGTGAGGCTTTTGAAATTTTGATGTCGGCGAGTCGGTAAACAGTTCGGCGACGTGTACAGTGTGTCCAGTTTTCGATGCTTTTGCATATCTCAGTTATCTTTGAAGATAGAACCTTGCGGTTTTCGCGGTCCTGTGCCACTTTTTTGTGAAACTCAAGATGACCCAATCAGATTTTGTAGGACTGTTTCCGTTTATGAGATACAGGGCGATTTTGAAAATTTATACTTTTTGGACCCCTCTATATCTACGAAGTTTATCAGCGAAAATGTCAAATTAAAATTTTAACCCATGAAGAATTTCATGCAGAATCCAGTGACGCACAGATTTTTTTTTTCGGGGTATGGTTTTGAAGATACGACTCAAACTTATGATTTTTTAAATTGAACACCCTGTATTTTATAAGCTCATTGAATTCCTTATTTTTTTCCTTTCGGAATGATATATGATGTATTAATATAACATTTTAAAAAATGTTCAAAAATCACTAAAACATTGAATTCTAATAGTGGGCTATGGGTTTTTCGAGGTATTTTCATATAAAGAAATTTACAATTGAAGAAATATTTCCTTCGATTGTTCCATGGGGGAAATAACAATTTCAACACTAATTAACTTGCAAAACACAAGACTTAGATACCTGATATCCACAAATATATAGTAATAAAAAGTTTATAATGTAGAATAAGCACCTGATTGAATATTTACTAAAACAATTGAATTTCGAAATTATTCAGTGATTTATTCATTGAATTGTTCAAATTGATGTCCATTTTACATCACAAACTTTCTCAATACATATTAATAATTGAAAGATGTCTTTGTAATTCCTGGAAAACTGCCTCTGTTGTTGCACAAAGTTCTCCCAGTATGTTGCATGTTGGGCCACTCACTGTATTAAGAAGTATTAAGAAAGTTTGTCAACTGTATGTTAGGGAAAATGGATATCAATTTGAACATGTCAATGAATAAGTTACTGAATAATTCCGGAATTCAATTGTTTTAGTAAATATTTAATCAGGTGCTCATTCTACATTGTGAACTTTTTATTACTATTTATTTGTTGCTATCAGGTACCCAAGTTTAGTGTTTTGTTAATTGATAAGTGTTGATATTGGTTTATTTGACCTCTCCATAGACAAATTTGAGGAAATATTTCTTCAATTGGAATGTTTTTTATAAGAAAAATCCATAACCAGCTATCAAAATTCAATATTTAAGTGATTTTGAGCAATTTTGAAAATTTTATATCAATTCGTTATACAGTGTGTCCCACTTACCATGCTCACTATGGGTATCTTTTTAACGGTGAGAGATGCGAGGTCGGTTGAATGACACCAAATGTGGAGTTTGTCATGGCCAACTATAATGTGAAAAAATATTTTGATAAAATCTATTCGTTTTTGTTTTATACGCAAAAAACAGATTTTGATCATTTTCATGTCTCCTCCGTAACTCCTTTATTTATGAAAATATTCAAATGGAAATTTCACATTCTCATAGCAGTTTTCCAAAGTGATTTTGAAAAAAATATGAAATTTATACCAACTCTTCTAGAATTTGAGATATCAGCACCAACTTCAGTTTTTCAAATGTAGGTCATAGCTCACTATGACTTAGTTACAAATAACTTTTTTTTCTCCCACAGATGATATGTCGCAGTAATAGTTTTGTGTTGATAACAACGGAGTTATCGTCATTTATACAAAAACAAAAAACTATTTGGAGGCCGCCATCTTAAATTTATAAATTTCAACATAAAAATCATGATCTCCGACCTCAAAAACCCCCACTTACCAATTTTTAATGGAATCGGACCAAATCTTGTCCGCCATCTTGGAGCAGCCATTTTTCAATTTCAACAAAAAATCCATAATGTATTTGTCAACGAAATTATGAACACCTACCAAATTTTCAAGTTAATCGGAGTTATGGAATTTTTGTTGAAATTAAAAGAAATGGCTGCTCCAAGATGGCGGATAAGATTTGGTTCGATTCCATTCAAAAACAAAACAATATAGCTGACATTTTTCTAAAGCCCACTAAGTTCAACTTACATCATGTGATATGAGTATGTTAATCAACTTTACTCGTCAATAACTCAATCATTTTCGATCCAAATAAGCGAGTTGTTGGTATCAATTTATCAAAAAATAAACATAGTGTTCCGATTGAGAAATGAAAGACCCTACAGTATACCAATACATTTCTGGAAATCAAAAGGTAAGCTGGGTATTCCATCCAACTTTAAAATTTTTCGATTTTCTGTTACTTCGTTATTGTTAGAGAAAACCGGCTATTCAATATTTTTTCCCGAATTCTCGTTGGAATAATGGCAAATTTGAGAAAGATGCAGTTCCTTTTCCAAGAGATGCTGATGTTTCGAATTTTTCAACACCGAGTAACTTGAATATTGCAATTTATCTCAGAAAAATTAATTGATAATTTATTTTTATTCAAATAAATATTTATGTCGTTCCTCAGAGCGTTCAAGTGAAATTTTCCATGAACTCGATTTATTGTAAAATAGTATACTACATAACAAGAGTTGTAAAACGCATATTACGCACGAAGTGGAGAGTTACACACGATGCCGCATAGCGAGTGTGTAACTCCACAAGTGGAGTTGGAGTTGGAGTTGGAAGAAATGAGAAAATGCTTCTGCAATTATATTTCACATTTGTTAGATCGAATTCAGAGTATGCATCAATAGTTTGGGCACCTCATTATCACGTACAGTCGTCTTCAGCGGAAATGTCGCGGTTGGACGGTATGAACGCTCTAATTGCAGCGGTGATCAAGGGAGCTGACACCGTCCATGTGCGACATGATCTCTGAAGACGACTGTACATATATCTAATTTGGAAAATATCCAACGAAAATTTTTGAAGTACTTATGTTTTAAACTTGATGGCAACTACCCAGATGTAGGTCATCCACATGATCAACTTCTTTCTAGATTTTCAGTTGCTTCACTTCTAGATCGTCGAAATAGGTCGCATGTTATATTCCTTTTCAATGTTATCCGGAACAATTTGGACTGCAGCTGCATTTTGGAGATGATACACTTTCATGTTCCCAGACTCACAACCCGGAGAAATAATAGTTTCTACCTTCCACTTTGTCGCACTAATGTTAAATTCCATGCACCTGTTCACAAGATGTGCTCGATATATAATACGATGAATGAAACCATTGACATCTTTTGCTGCAGTTTGGCATCCTTAAAAAAACTGGACTGTTCTGTTTTTTCCAATGTATAATTTTATGTATTGAGAAAATAATTTTAGTAATACACTTAGTATATTCCTATTCTGTAATTGGATCTTGTATCTGTTGAATAGTGTAATAAAAAAAAAAACGTGCGATCGCTCTCTTTACGCACACGTGTGTAAGGAGAAGCTTACTGCCATTGTTTTGTGTACAATATCCATCACTTACAGTAGTAGTCGTAGGAAAAATAACTTATCCATCGTTAGTGTAAAAAAATGATTATGTTGTTTGGATGGAAAAATCTGTTGATTTTTCAATGTTGATAAGCTAGTGACTAATAAAACGATCACACGACGTTTCACTATGTATATTTTATTATCTGACAGTCTGTCACCGCCACTCTTGAATTTGTCAGTACAAGATCACTTTCTGTAGTGACAATTATCAAAATTTATCGAAGTTCGGCAATTTTTCGTAATCAAAGAAAATTATCAATGAAAATGGTAGAGTCGAAGAAGAAGTTGAAAAAATTCAAACCAGCGAAGCGGTTCCGATATCTGCCTGGATCTATCGACATTCATACAAATTCTGTAGACCTGAAATGCTACAATTCTCATCGATACAGAGTAAGAGTTAGATATCATCAAAGAATTATCGTTATAAACAAAAACCTAGTGGGCGAACTATAATATTGTCTGTCCATCGATAAAATATATGGAAAAGTTGCCCTCATTGACGATATTTTGAGTTAACCAGTGACTTCTCTATTTCGAACAAATTTATTCATTTGATATCCTCACCGTAGAAAATGTCCCTATTCCTGCTATGATTCACCTTTCTGTCAAGTTTGGAGAACAGAAGATTTTCAACTTTCGAGTATAAGGTAAGCTAAAAGAATTCCCTTTTAATCTTCTCAGGAAACTGAGAACTCACAATGAAGCCAGGCCAACGCTTTTTATGAAGATCTTGCTGAAATTATAGCCTGTAGATTCAACAACCTTGTTGAATTCAACGCCACCAGAACTCAAACTTTAATTTTCTCTAGATCTCTTCACAGAAACTCGCATTTTTATGCGGAAATGTACTTTACACCTCAACAGTATTTCATGACCTAGAAAGCACATAGATATACGGCCTGATCTAGAATACTGTTCCTACATATGAGGCAGTGTTTACAAACTCAACAGAAATGTGGTTCTTGACAGGAATACGACGAATTTCAAGGGTTAGGATTAAAAATGAATAGAAAATATGGTTCAAGTTTCGTTTAGCTGAAGTCAGTTATGAAAAATTTGTTGCTATTGCAACCATTGTCATGATAACATGTAAACAGAAAACAAAATCCCGTGGTGAGGAAATGCATGGTTGCCAAGTTTTATCGGGTTTAGTATAGCTGGAATCAGTTTTGGAAAAACTATTGCTATGGTAACGAGTAAACAAAAATCATATTCCCGTATATTTGTGTCCCTTAAATTTGGACTTGCAATGTAGTTCTGTCATTTCTTAATCAATTAATGGAAAAAACAGCGCAATCCTAGACCCTCAACTTTTGTTTCACAAAAGTTCTTGCTAGTATTCAAACAATAACCCTTCTTATCAATTTCTTGAAGACTGTTCGTCGTTGATTAATTCCCAAATTACTACTTCTCTGACAATCATATATGGAAATAACGTCAGGAGAAAATAGTGTAATGAACGGGTATCTTAGAGAA